ATAGTGGAAATATATACATGGTATAGTGAAAAATCATGCTTACATGTAAATTTTGAGAAGAAACTTGAATGAAATAGCGGAAAATTTGGGACTAAAAACAAATTTAGTTTTTATCAGAATAATAATGCCTAACACTCTGCCATGTTAGTTAAGAAATGGCTATTTTATTACATCCCTAAAGTTATAACAACTCAACCACAGTATACCTGTGGGAAAATTTTTTTTTAAAACTTATTTATTGAAAAATATTATAATCTGTCTCTAGGACATTTATAATAGTGTTCACATATCACATTCAGACTCTATTCGTGGGAAAAATTAGAGGTAGAAATTAGAAAACACGAAATTTCTTGTAAAGAAGACTTAAAAAAATATCTCCTCGAATAGTGAAACAGGTTAAGCCCAGAATTTACCAAAACATTGGTCGACTTCACAACAAACAGACTAAAAGACGTAGTAGAAAATAATGGATTGCCTCCAAAGTATTGAACTAAATTAATATAATTTAAAATTTATTAAAAATTGAGGTATATCATATTAACTGTGAGTTATTAATATTATCCATGTTTTTTTTAATATTCACTGTCGAATATTTTAATTTTGTTGAGTTTGTACCTATTTAAATTGAGATTATAAATAAGTCTGTTGAAGAGTTTTTTTTTTTTATTGGTTTATTTTTTTTTTCGACGAAGTGTATCTAATTTCACTTTATATGTTCTCTTGTTTTTTTATTATTATGCTGATTATGCCTGTATCGGCGAAATATTGGCAGGATATCAGTTCACCTGTATGTTAGGTGGTTTTAATATTTTGGATTTTTAAATTTGTGACGTAAATTCTATCATTAGAACATTTCATCAAATCTGTCACAAACCACAGGGAGGTTTTGTGAACTCAATTACTGAACATGGGAATTGTTTTACATTAAAGTTGTGCAATAATGTAAGATTTGTGAAGTTCATTTTATTTTAATATTTAAATGTTAATGTTAAGGTACAATGTACTTATGATTTATATATTTTAATTTGCTATTTTTTTTTTTTGTACAGATATTCTTTGTTTTAATTTAGTTTTTTTTGTTTATTTTAACGGTATTTATTTAATAATATTTAATGGTTATCCTTTTTTATATTTGATTAATTGTTTTTTTGTAATAAGGAGATAATTGTTGATTTTGTCGTTGATAGAGAAGATATTTTTTTTTCAAAAGTGTGTAATAATAAATCCACAACTAATCAAATTATATATAATGTAATTGACCCTCGAATATATATATATATATATATATATATATATATATATAATATATATATATATATATATATATATATATATATATATATATATATAATATTTTTTGGTTTTAACATTAGAATCAGCGACTTATAACAGGGAAGAAGGATTACGATTAATTATGATAACCTCCCTTCCCCTACACATTTTATTATTGTCATTCCAAATTTACTCAGGAATATTTTAAAGTCATTCCAAATTTACTCAGGAATATTTTAAATCTTTTTAGTTCAAATTTCTTATTTAATTTTATTTCAACATATGCCAACGTATCAGGCCATATTGGTATAATATGTCAGGCCATTTTCAAGTTTATAAAATCACATATGTAGCTTAAAAATTATTAATATGTAAAAAAAAATATGAACGCATACAAAATAAAATATTTATTTTTTTCAACAGTCACTATAGAGAATTTAAAATTTATCAGTAACACAATTGTCTAAGAATCCTAACCAAAATGGTTTATAATTACTTTTTTTTACTATTTTTAATAGAGACCACTCAAAAAAAGAAACAGTAAAAACTGGTGGAAAAAATAGATTTTATCAAAATTGAACATTATTATTTTAATAATTACCTTATAGTTGTCGATAAATTTAAAATTAATTTAAATCTCATACATTTTCGACTTTTTTTTATTTTTGGTCCAGAAAATTATTCCATAAGTTAATTTATTTTATTATTAATAGTTTCTGTGATTTATAATTTTATTTATAATAGAATATGCTATTTTTCACTAATTCGTTGAATTAGTAACACTTATTTAGAATTAAAAAAATTAACTTACATAATTATTCATTCATTTGTCTTCTTATTATAACAAAGCAATGTCCACCTGTGACCTCTCCTATTATTATTTATTAAATAAAATTATTTCCAGTCTCCATAATAAAAATGGTCTTGCTAAAACTAATTAGTATAATGGTTTACTTAAAACTATAATTTATTAATAATATCAGCTTAGTGTTGTTGCCCAATCCATTTTAAATCTATTTTTAATATTTTAAATATTTTTAGTTTTATATATATGTATATATATATATATATATATATATATATATATATATATATATATGTGTGTGTGTGTGTGTGTGTGTGTGTGTGTATTGATTCCAGAAATTGTCTTTCTGATCTATTGCATCTCTGCATTATTTAAAATGTCAATTTTACTTTTAATGACAATGAATATATATTCATTTTATTTATATTCACAAATCGTACATTGTCCTATAGAATATCCAGAGTACATATCTTGGCCAATAACGTTCTTGGAGCAAAATTACTATATAAGGCCAAGATAAAAAATTAAACGAGTTATAAACAGAATAATTATAATTTAAACAAATTAATCCATAAGTGTTAACAGTAAATATTATGAGGGCAGGGATAATAGTCTTCCATAATAGACAAGTATTGATCATGGCTTTGTTGACGTTGTCATAGCCAGGTGCTCATGTAATGCCATGATTAACGGAGACAAATATCATGTCGAAGGAGTTGTGGAAGAAGCGTTTTTCGAAAATTTACGTAATCTTAAAAAAGATCGTTTATACAAATATTGTTATATAGCCATGTTGTGTCAACTATTCTCAAAATAAACTAAAATTTTATCAAATTAAATTTTTAAAATATCTGGTGCAATGTGCCAATTACACAACCTTCACACATACAGTACTACTTTGTTCAGAAATCAATTATAAATGAATTAATAAACTTTGAGAATAACCAATTTTTTCCTTAGTTATACAATTCTTTTAGGTTTAACAATTAACAAGTAATTATTTTTTTATTTATTAATTTTTTTTATTGCTTTTACGAATTATAGGCGGTTTCTCCGATACCCTCTTGAAACATTCGCTGGCGGTACCGCCATTCTATCATCTAACCCAGACCCTGAAACTTTATCCTTAAACCTACAAACACACACCTCCCTAATTGAGCAGTGGTGCAACAATTGACACTTCAAAATCAACCAATCCAAATGCAAGCACATCACCTTTACACTCAAATGCAGATCATGTCCACCTCTTTTAATTCTATAGCTCTTCCCGTCTCAGACACGGTTGGATTCCTTATGGTATCTTGGATTCCTTTCAGACAAAAAACTAACATGAGCCCCATATACTAGACTTAAAAGACATGAACTTATCACACGATTTGGGCAGTTATATAGACTACTTAATAGAAACTCCAATCTCTCAATCGAAAACAAATTATTAATATACAAGACCTTACTGAAACCCATCCGGACTTGAACTTTGGGGGACAATTAAATTTTCTAATATCAATCACATCAGATCCTTCCAGCCTAAAGTTCTTCCGAATAATAGTCAATTATCCTTATTATGATACAACCTTTCATCATGACATTAACACTCCTTATATCCTTGACGTTATTCCGTCCCGATTCTTTAATTTTCACCTGAACTTAATCTACCATCCTAATGCCTTAGTACAATTCTTATCCAGCTCCATTCAACCCTACAATCCTTCTCAAAGGAAATGGCAAGCTTCTCCACTCAAGTCATGAGCGTTTGTGGCTTTAGGTCCTTTCTCAGTCTCCAATGGATTCTCATGCTGCGGCTGAGGAAAGCGAATCTCTTATAGCCTTGTCCTTGTAAAAGTGGAGAAACAGTAGTCTAGTTGGATGAAGATGAAAAAAATCGAGAATAATTTATGATTATTCTAAAACCAGAACTCAGCTTAGTTTAGCCTCTCAAAAGTCCTCTGTAAATGGTTTTAACAATGATAGACTCTATGTTCATTTAAAGTAAATTCCATTACGTTTATAATGAATCAATAATTAATTACTTAATTAATTTTAAGCATTTCTTTAGTTATTAGTTTCGGTTCAATAAATAAACATTACTCCCTTAAAATAACACAAAACTTGTATTTACTAATTCTCTGCTGAAAATTGGCCCATTGTTTGTATGAACTTTTTTTTTTTTGTTCTTTAAGTCTGCTATCACTCCAATATAAGTTTCCTTCTACTTAAAAGACACACTACTTAAATGGAAGTATTTTTTCACCACATTTCTACAAAAATAGTGATTATTTACGAGGGTGATCACAAAAAAAATGCAACGTATAATTTATATATACATATATAACGATAAAATTATGATAAAAGATAGTTTAAATTTTCGTTAGAGGCAATTTGCAAGTTAGGAGGAAGTTGTCGTCTTAGAGGGGGTTGGAACGTTTGTTCTGAAGTTATTGGGCTATGAAACGTACTCAAGTTTCTGACGAAACTTGGGAGGTGGATAGGAAAGGGTACAAGATATGACTCGAGGAGTTATCATATTGAAAACAGGACCCGCTTAAAGTTTATTCTCAAGCATGGTTAAAGTTGAACAACACGTGCAGCTCTACTCAACCAAAGATAATTATCAGGCAATGCCGCCTCACTCAACCATTTAAACCTTAACCTATCTCTATGGGTACATAGTTTGACTATTCACGAATAGATGATAACATGTTATCTATGAATCCTTGGTGTTCTCTAAAAACGTAGGATTTCGGGTGTTCGTCTAAAATCCATCGGGATTCTGAACAATATTTTTTTCTAATTCACTTCCTTATCTTCATTAGTGTAGTGTAAGTAATTGTGAGTGGAATACTGTATTAAAATGTATTTTTAAAAATACATGTTATTACTATTTATGCAAAAATTACAACTACGTATATTAGTTATTACTTACACATGACCCTGAGTAGGACTGGATTGCTGCTTCCCTTTCCTTCACTGTTGGCAGCCAAGCAAGTGTACTCCCCGGCTGTAGCGCGCGTAACGCCTTGAAGAACCAAGCTGTGGTCACTACGTATCACCCCGCCGCTTATATTATGATGTATCTCTTCACCCTAAATATAAAAAAAAAACTCATTTAATGAAAATAAAAAAAAAAAAATCAATCTTCCAAACCCAAGAAATTTTAAGTTGTGGATTGATTATAATTAGGGCTTGGGTTTTTTATTTTTTTGTTTAAGGGGAAACTGAATTTTTAACATAACTATGCTGAATCTTGAATAATATATTTAAAATACGAAAATTCCTATAGGATCTTTTTTGATCTATTTTGCAATTTTGTACTACAATAGGTCTATTTTGAAATTATGCAATAAAATAGATCATTTTTGTATTGTGCGCTAAAATTATTACACTAGGTCTCCCCTACCTTGAAAAAAAAAGGTATTAGGGTATTTCATTCTTAATACAAAGTGGTTTTACAACGCATATTTAATAAAAAATAAATTCTCCTATAATTATATGGAAAAAAATTCCATCATATTTTTATTTTTAACGAAAGAGACATTAACAAAGTTACAATTGACCTTAGGAACAATGTAGGTTTAATATAATTCTTTCCCACAAAGATATAGCTAGTTTGGCTAGTTCTGAATTTCATCGATGGAAAACATCGGTAACATTCAGCGCTTTCACTTTCATCGGCTCTTGGTTTCGACGGATCCGTTAGATGTAACCTCAGTGTTCTTATATATAAATTTACTTTACATATTTATATTCAGTTTATTTTCTGTCTGTATGACCTTTGTCTAACCTCATCGATGGCATCAGAACCGTCTCTAATTTGAACGAAACTCATAAACGATGAGTTCAGCAATAAGCCCTGTTTATTTCTGTTTTGTAATGCAACAATTCAGTAGACAGATATTTCTTAATATATTCTTTTATTTTTCATATGTTTAATATATATATATATATATATATATATATAAAATAGAATAGAAGAATCAACTTTATTCTGGGACAAAGTCCCTTGAGAATAACAATATTGTACATAAAATTAACATTACATCTGGCCAAAATGCATATTACAATAAAAAAAACAACTAAAAAATAAGGGATAAAAGAAGTATTTATATAACTGTACAGATATAGTAAAGACATAATATGAGCAATAATGTCCTAATACTGAAAAATATTTGCTATAAACAATAAGCTATGGAATTATATATATATATATATATGTATATATATATATATATATATATATATATATATATATATATATATATATATATATATATATACACATTATTAATATTAATATTCTTCGTATGTTTCATGTCGTTCCTAAACTCACCCTACATGATGTATAAAGAATCTATAACTTCATTCAGAGTATCTATACATCATTTTTAATTGTTTATTTATTTTATATTATTTATTTTTATTATAATTACTTTTGATGTTAAAAAAAAATTAAATTAGACTACCTGTCACACTTAAAAGTAATAGGTTCAACTATTACTATAGGCGGTACATTCATACCATACACACATGAAAAATAAAGAAGTAACAACAAGAAGAAAATTAATGTTTAAGTGAATTGTAAAAAGTTAAATAAAGTATAATATATCATACAAAAATTAAAATTAAAGAATTAAAATTAGTCTTGAAATTTGGCTTATCTAGAATAGATAATTATGTACATTTTAGTGGTAAGGTAGTTATATAGTTTTCGGAAGGAAAATGCAAATTTCGTATTTAAAGAGAGCTATAAAAGAAAGTTAAATCTTTTCTTAATGGCACAACACTTTTCCAAGATGGCTTCATAAGGAGAGCATTTTCCAAGTTTAAGGGGAAAAGTGAAGCGATTAAGGAAAATACTGCATATTAAGTGAGGGCTCCAGTGGAAATACTCAAAGTACCTCAAGGGATAAAGGAGTTAATGAATGAATATATTTTTTTTAATAAACAGTAACTCCAAAAGCCACCGTAACTAGTAAGCCATCTAAAACTGATTTTGACGTCTTCATTTTCCAATTAATTTAAAGTAATGGATGTCTCATTTTCTTTCACAGTATAAAATAAAGGTGGGATTCAAGGAATAATGAGTTTAAATCAATATATAATTTTATAGAGGAAAAAAAAAATATATATATAATATTCCAGACAATAATATATATATATAATAAAAAAATATATAAATATTAACTGAATACTTTATTCAACGAAAAATTCATAATCACAAAATTTAATGGGTATCCCATGAATCAATAATATTACTATTTTTTTCTCACAATAAACACCAGAAAACAAAAATATTCGTTAATATATAATTCTGGTGTTATTTTTTAAATGTATCTGTATATTTTAAGTATTGAGGAAAAATTCTATTAAATTAGAATTATAATAATAATAAGAAAATAACATTAAATTAATTCTTATAGATTTTTTTAAATATTCAAAATTTATTTTTATTTCTAATTGTCACTAACTTCAATTAGTTCGTTGGATTGGTAGTTAAACCTATATTGTTTATATTTTTTTTTATTTTTCAAATTTACTGAATGTTCACTGAACATTAGAAAAAACTATATATATCTAACTAATTTTCGTAATCTTTTTGAAATTTTTTATTTAAATATTCTTTTTCACTTTAATTTTATTGTATATTTTGCATATTTTTAATTTTACAAAATAGATAAATAATCTTCATAGGAACAAGGCCTATGTAATAATAGTTTATCAAGTTGAAGATGTTGAGGAGAGGAAACTTGAGGAGGAAGTTTTATAAAAACTATTAACAAGGAGAACAAATTTGAAACAATTTGTAGAAAATTACATAATTTCCTTTGAAAGTACATCCATTTCACTCTTCAGAATAAATCCCTTATTGGAACGGAAACACAGAAGAATAAAAAAGAACTATTTCGAGATATGGCAACTTGAGCCATTGAGTAAGTGTCCATATAAGGTGGATTTATATACGTTACGGGATTTTGGCAACGTCCGTTGTAGGGGTATCCGTATAGAAGGACACAGAATTCTATTACTTGCTAGTGAGACATATGAGTATTGACGGTGGTGTACGTTGCAGGAAGGAGTCCGTTAGAAGTGATTTTATTTTGAAACTTCTAATAAGTAAATAAATGTGTTCAAATAACCTGTTCTATTCCAATCATGGTATTGCAAAAAAAACTCTTAAATATCTATTAGCATTCGGAGATTACCTCAATCAAAATGGTTAAAATGATAATAAAGTACAATTTTTAATTTTTAAATAAGGATAAATATATTGAATTACTTGAACAATATACAATATACAATACTTGAAGAGGAAGGGTACTTACGTTGTGGAACCATGCTAATTTGTAGGTTTTAGGGTTGGCACGAATGTTGCATTCGAAATAGACGTCGTCTCCTTCCTTTATATCATCCGGGTTTAAGCTTGATCCCATCTTCAGGGTTACCACTGGCATATCTGAAAGACCGAATCAATTAGTCGATTAAAAACATAAAGTATTCTGCCTTAAAAAAATATATATATATATAAAGTACTCAATAGAGCTATCGTAGGATCAATTAGGAGATATCTTAAAAGGTGTATTTAAAAAAAAATTAAATTATTTTTTATTTCATCTTTTCAATAACATTTGAGAGATATTTGCATTTACTATCTTCTGACGAACATTATTTACAGTTTTTTTTTTTTTTTATTTCTGATATTTATAACTGTATTAAAATAAACATACTTCTAGAAAATGTCATAAAAGGAATATAATGATATGAAAAAAACGTGTTTAGAAACTACCGACTGGCAGTACTTAATAATAAATCAACATTAAAAGATCACTCAACTACCCTATTTTCAGACGGATCGGAAACATATGGATCATAAAAGTCATTGTAGATCATTTTATTAATAACAAAGTAAGAAACATTGAAGATTTTTGATTGTAATGATTGGATACGAGAGGAATTCGATTGTTTAGTGGAATCCCAAAGCTCAAATCGTTATAGTATTTTGTAATTAATAGGAAGTTTTGATTGTTTGTCAAGAGAGTGTTATAGTAGAAAAATATCGAATTCTTCTGAATGAATTTTCTTTTTTATTATTATTTATGATATTTACAGCTGCATTGGAAATAAAAATACATTTGGTAAATGCGAGCACAACAATATTAGCATGAAACCACTTGTTGAGAAACTAACCACAGGTAGCACTCCAAAAATGTATTTACAACAGGAGATCTCGAGGCCATCTTCTTTACAGACGCCTCCGAGTGAAATCAGGAATCGAGGAGGAAGCAAGATTAGAAACAAGAGGGCTTGGATGGTTCTGAAGTTTGTTATGGAAAGACAGGTATCTGGGGATTGGGCCATGTCAGAAACATAAGGAACATTAAGGTCGTTATGGATGATTTTATTTGTGACAAAGTAGGCGGATTTCGAAGGATTTGGATTGTAAGGATTGAATACGAAAGGAATTCGATGGTAGCCCAAAAGCTCAACTCCGTAAATCCAAATAGGTCTTATTGTAGTCATGTATATGGGTCTTTTGTAATTAACTGGAAGCTTAGGGCGTTTGTCTAGTAAGTGCTGGAGTAGTCGGAAACGTCAAGCGGTTTCCAATCGTTTCAGTCTGGTATGAGGATTCCAAGTTATACGTTTGTCCAAGTGGAGTCTAAATAATCGGATTCGTTCAACAGGGATAAGTGGGGTATTATAAAAAGATATTGTAAGACAGGAGGTCATAGGGTAACGGCGATGGGTAATAGTGATTTAATGGGATTTATTGAAAGAATTTTTAAATATTTTATATAAGTATGCCTATATTTAAGTAATTATTTTGATTAGTTTAAGTTTCTTTTTGTTTATATATATATATATTTATTTATTTTTAGTGCTATTATAATTCTGTTGTTTTATTTTTATTTATTGTACATTACGTTTAAATGAACCCATCATAACCACTATTACTAATTTGATACGAATCGTAATATTTCTTAATAAATGCATGTGAATATATAAAAAATTAAAAGATTTACCGTATTAAAAAAAAAAAGTATAAAATTATTTTCACTTTACATAAGACAGTCTCTTCTCTCATAATCTAAGATCTATCAAATTAGTGTACATCTTTTTTTTTTATTATTATTACAATACTAATAAAAACTGCTAGTGCGATTAGTTAGGCATTATTTGGCGGCTGTTAACGATGGAATATAACCTTTCAATATAAGATTCCCTATCCCTGGGGGAACTAAATGGGAAATGTCTCTAAAGTTGGGGTGCCAACAAGTAATTACAAGCCCCGCATGCAGCAACACACTGAGACGATTAGAAGGGCTCCTAATGCTCCCGGATCTAGCGGGTAATGACTGCAGCTACACAAATCTGACCGTCTCTTTCCAACTCCCTCGCCCCCCCCCCCACTCCCCTTGGTCATTAAATTGATATCGTATTCGGAATAGCCTTTGTTTCCTCTAGTCCCCTTAATAACACGAGTTCCCGTCCGATAATTAGAAAAAAATGTTTTATTTTATTTTTGAGTCAAGATTGTATGCGCATTTTTAAATTTAAAAATATTAAAAATGTTGAAACACGCAGCGAAGGAAAACAATAATGAGAGTAAACTTTTTTTTTGGTATTAATATTTTTATTGATGTATAATGTATTTTACCACACATAAGGGTACTGAGAATTAAAGCTGTAAGGTACATTCATACCATATTTACATTTTAATAAAACAATTTTCCCAGTCCGCTGGTGTTCCTCAAGGTAGTATCCTAGGTCCTATCCTCTATACAGTTGATACAGCTGACATCCCTACCTGTCCCAACACTGTCATCACCACATATGCCGATGACACATATATCCTATCAGTAAACAATGACCCAGCAATTGCATCCCAAATGCTTCAATCAAACATCATAAATCTAGAAGAATGGTGTCAAAACTGGAAAATTAAAATAAACTCCAATAAATCCCACCAAATTACCTTTACCCTTCGTCGTAAACCAACGACTTCCTGTCCTACAGTTTCCTTTAACAATACTCCACTTATCCCTGTTGAGCAAATCCGATACCTAGGACTCCACCTGGACAAACGACTAACTTGGAATCCTCATACTAGACTGAAACGACAAGAAACCGCTCGACGTTTCCAATTACTTCAGCACTTACTAGACAAACGCTCTAAACTTCCCATTAATTACAAAAGACTCATATACTTGACTATAATAAGACCTATTTGGACTTACGGAGTTGAGCTATGGGGCTCCACTAAACCATCGAATTCCTCTCGCATCCAATCCTTACAATCCAAAATCCTTCGTAAAATCCTCAATGCTCCTTACTTTGTCACTAATAAAATTATCCATAAAGATCTTAATGTTCCTTATGTTTCAGATCTGGCCCAATCCAGATACCTATCCTTCCATAATAAACTTCAGAACCATCCCAACCCTCTCGTTTCTAACCTTGCTTCCTCTTCAATTCCTGATAACCCTCCGAGGCGTCTGAAAAGAAGATGGCCCCGTGATCTCCTACTGTAGTCGTATCATTAGAGTGCTACCATTGGGTAGTTACTCAGCAAGTGTATTCATGTCATTATATCAATTATGTCCCAATTTACTTGATGTATTTATGTAATACAGATGTAAATGTCATAAAGAAATAAAAAAAATAAAATAAAACAAAAAAAAAAAAAGATATACAACAGCTAATAATGTATATATAACAAAGGTAAGAACTGTAATAAAAACAAAGAAATATAGCTTGTAGTGAAATAATACAGAAAATTCTTAAGTAAAAAATAGAAAAAAAAAATTAAATATTAATGATATTAAATTATTAGAAATGAGTAAATGGAAAAAAACAAACAAACGAAAACAAAACTAACAGTTATACTTAATTACAATATATACAATCAGCCAAGGGAGCTCCGAGTCCAGCCCTTTTCCCCACGTGTAGAGGACAAGGATAGGTTCTAAGAGATCCCAGCGCTTCCCTCTCATCCGCGTCACCGGTGGAGAGTGAAATTAGTGCTAGGATATAATTGAATAATTCCATGACAAGTCTTGTTTCCATGACATACCTTGTTTGTTTCAACATTTTGCTAGTTCTTGTTTCATCAGAGCGGACAAAAATAATATGTACGCAGTCCAGAGACAAAATATCCCACATCGATGCTATAAAAAAGGCTAAACAAGAGATAACCACCCCCTCCCTCCTCCCGAAGTCGATGACGCACAAACTACCCCTCTCCCAAGAAATATGAATGCCCTCCTCTTCTTTAAAACAGTGCAAGCGAGTCAGAAATATCGCAGATCTTATAAGAACACACTTACTGTGTTATGGTACTGGTTTGATGCTTTTCAATCCGAAAATTCATAGCTCTGTCAAAATGTCCACTCTCCCCTTAGAAATTCAAAATGGCGTCAAAAATATGGTCCCATAAAAAATTTCAATGATGCGAGTTGCGCCATGAAACCCCCTTATGGAGCACCCCTGCAAAGTGCAAGACCAAGACCGATTTTGGGCAACACAAATAAATATACATATATTTTTTCTCTCCGTTTGGTATTTTATTTTGTTCTTATTTCTATTTATTACATTGATTTATTTATTTATGTTTCTGAAAAAATATGGCATGAAAGTAATCTCTGAACTCGATTGTGGGTGTTCTTAATTGACACAGATTGTAATATTTTTCAATAAACAAGTCATTTAAAAAAACAAAATAAACTCAGCTAGTATTATTTTTTTTCTGTTGAAAAAAAGAATCGACAAATTTAATAATTATCTCTTATCCCCTGTTGAAGTTTTACTATTCCTAAGCTCATACACTTCAACAGGATACCGGATTAATTGCAGGTTTAACAAAAATAGTGAACGGTCAGCCAAGCACGTTGGTTAGCATCTAGAAACATGGGGAGCCGCTGGGCAAAGAGGCTCTACAAAATCCTTTGTCTTTAGAATGTAGAGGCTTGGACAAAGTGTAATTTAGCCGGCCTCTTTGGGTCCTAGAAGGCTTAGAAAAATGTTGTTTGAGCGTTCACTTTGTGCTCTGAGCTCCCTAAACCACCTTCATTTTCATGACCCTCTATCTTCACTAATAGGTTCCTAATGCTCAGCTCATGTAATATTGTGAAGGAAAAATGAGTTTCCTCTGGAAACTTTTATCTGGAAGAGCTCAACGAAAAACCATAAACCTACACCGGCGGGATTCCAAAGTCTTAAATTATGTCGTTTAGGCAGCTTTTAAGTTCGGTAAATTCTTGATAAATGGCATCCCGTCAATTCGTGAAATATTTTTTATTTATCGCAAACTGCCAATTTGAAAAAAAAAAATTATCAATTAATGCAGCGATACATTAATAATTTGCTTCAAGTTTTCTTTTTTTTATCAGCATTAATTATTTAATTTTTAATATTTATAGTTATTTCTCCAATATTTGTATATATGATATGAATGAG